GTATTTTAGAGTAGCTTCTAGCTAAGAACTGGAAGAGGATGTTTTGCACCAAATATACTGATTTGAAACGATTAAGTTTTTCGCAGGACTTTGAGGGCATTCACTGTGGATGGATTTTCAGGCCACAAGAAGACGAGGTATAATCTCTTATATATTTCTTGTTGTCCCTACTCTTAGAAAGCCTTGGACATATCGCGAGTATTCGTGTAGGTGTAGGTCAGTATGGGTTTCGTGGCGAAAATTTTCCATAGGCACGTCTCCAAGTATTCGCAGTTAGTGAGGGTCAGGTCTCGACAGTCATTTAAGATTGCTACATCTTTAGTTGCACGTGCGCTGCAATTATATATCACGTAATGGAGTGTTTTCAGAATCTTTTCTATGAACTCCATGCGTGCGGGAGATAATGAGTCGTCTCTTCTTCAAACTTTTCTTCGACTGTTTCCTCAATGTATTATATTGGCCAACTTGTTCTTGTATGTATTTATCATTCAGCAGTCTGTAAACTCTGGATTTTTTCTTAGCTCATGTATTTGCGCTTTCTTCTGTCCGAAAAGCCCATGCGATATATAATGACTAGGGCAGATGAGGATGGGGATTTACTTTCCGAGTGGTAAACCTAACCCAATTAATGATCCATCTTTATATGTGACAGTGTCAAATATTGGTTATAACGTCTGAGGACTCTTGTGGGCTTGGTTTATTTACATCAATACCTATGGCATCTAAAATCCCACAACTTATCACACTGGTTCATTTCCATTCTTCCCAAGTAATGATAAATTTTTTGCCTGTGGTACATGATCAGCGGTTAGGCGAGTTATTCTCGTCAACTAGTACATTTTCCATTGAATCAATATCAGTTTCTTTCCCACTTTGAGAGGGAATGGCGACACAGATCATGTGGCCCTCTGCTGTATTCAGCAAGGTGTGACAACATTTCATGTTTACTTCAAATATTTTGCACAAAACAGTGTATATACTCACTTCCAATGATTTAAATCAATTGGACTAACTGTGTCCGTCTGTATGTCAAGGAAAGTGTAACTTGACCTTGTGCTCTTCAGGCTGCAACTGGTTTTCTTGTAATTCCCTGGATCTTGCACAGACTACGGCAAATCATCTACTACCACAGCCTTCTACTGTACTTTTTCCTGTTTCCTAGACTTCCAGTGGACATTCTGGCTAGTGTCATATGTCTGTTTTACCGAATTTGTGGCGAAAAAACCAGCTATATCTAAACTGTAGTTTGCATTAGGTAGTTTATTACGTTTCTGCTCAACACGGTTCGTCTCATGATGGAAATTTGTGAGCTTGATCTCACATAATGTTAGACACATTAGTTATTGTGTAATTAATTTAGAGATAACTCAAGTACATCGAGTTTCGGCTGAGTAGAGAGCAGTTGCTTTAAACTTATCTCTCACATTTAATGCTGTTGCTTGTTGACTTCCTGGTTCTGTGGAAGTCTTCTGTTGTTCAGCAAAAGTATTTGGGCATAATGTTGTATGATGCATACCCTTGCATTTAAAACATTTCTTCAGTTGAGATTTTCCTCTTGTGTTCACCTTTTAACGCTTGATGCACCTTTTCAGCTGATGAACACGTTGTTTACGTGCCTACATTGATGTGTATTGAATACAATACTGTACACAATTTGGAGTACGTTTATGTGTGACAGTTTGTTTACTGTCTGTTGTATTCACAGCTTGATAAATGCCTATATGGGATTTCCCTTCTGTGGTTTTTAGTGGGGGAGTAGGATTATACTCCTTGTGTTATTTACTGTGTTGGAAGAGTTTGTTATCCGCACGGGATGTTTGTGAATTTTTCATACTTGTACGTTGCTTGCATGCATTGAAACTAATGTTTGTAAAAACCATTGCTCTAATTCGTCACAAGTGGAAATAGGTTTATTGGAAAGAGTATTTAATGTTTTCATTGAGTTTGTCCGGTGACAAAATATCTTGTGTACAGTAACCCATATTTTAGCTTCTCGAGAATCTCGAGACTCTTGTCTAATGTGATTCTAACTGCCTGTAAGTCTGAAAAAAAAAAAAAAAATGTTTTGGGGTGGCTTCCAAGCTTGATATTAATGACTGCATGTCTAACTATGGCCCTTGTTCAGCAATCAAAGTTATTGTCCTGCTAAAGAAGAACGTAAGGCTATTTGTAATTGCCTTTAACCACGCGGAGGGGATAATGACATAATAGTTAATAGGGATTCTCGCCCTTCACAAGACTATATAAGGTATTGAACTTAGCAATCTCATCGATGTCAGTTCGTTGAATTTCACTTGTGGAAGAAAACCCTCTATGAATTCTTCTTAATTATGACCTTGGAAAATAGGTACTGACAAATTGTAGGTAAGCTTGGTAATTGGGCACACTTGTTGTTACAGGTGTAACGGTGTTTAGACCACTAGTTACAGTAGGTCTCTGTGGGACAGAGTTTTGCGGCAGATATCCTGTACTCCTGTCCCCCTTTGGTTGATTACTAAAAGTATCCAAAACATTTTTAATTTCATTCCTGCAGATGGGTATGATTCAAGAAAATTGCTTTTCATAATGTAGTTTAGTTGAACTTAATTAATTTTCAGACGTTGTGTAAGTAATTCCAAATTTTGACCTCAAAATCATCAAATAATCTATGTTTGTATCTTGAGTTAATCCTATACAGACTGAAATTAGAATTTTCTAATTGTGTAATCTTAGTCTGTAAATGACTGAAACTGAGTTTTCAAACAAGCCATTTTAATGGTATATTGAAATTCTAGCACCATATTAGAGTGTTTAACAAAACACTGATACTGATATAAGCTGAGTTTTTTTTATGCTTAAGTCAGCAATAATCGGTCAGGCACTACTGACCTTCTAAGCTTAAACCTCAGGGTCCAAAGACATGAACGCGGTACATAGTACATATAGCTGGAGAGTTCATGGCTTCGTTTGCTGTGTCAGCCTCATCGATGATTATTCGTAAATAATGTTATACACTTCATTTCACTATTTACACTATAAATGTCACAGTATACTGTAAATCACACGTGAATATTACTTACACATAATATAAATTTCACTGTTTAATATGTAATTGAAAGGTTACACTATTATATATAAGTTCCTTTAATATAACAGGTATATCTAAAAAAACAAACTTTAACAAATCTTGTTCTCTTAATTTCTGTCTTAAACCATTATAAACCACTATTGTATATACACTCAGGACAAAGCTGGAACATCAGTTGGGTTGTTTGTCAGTCAGCGATTGCGAGATTGGAGCAGGTATGTGGGATGCAGGGTTGCCATCCCGTTGTCTTGTTGGGGTGAGTCACTCAGCCTCCGTTTTCTTTGCGGTGGTGAATTGAACGCTGGGGTGTGCGCCGTTGTGTTTTTGTGACCCATTCTTTGGTATTGAGTCTGAGAGGGATCCTTTATACTGATTTAAATGGTAAAACACTAGTTTTACAGCTTTTTTCGAGAAATGGGACCTTGGCTTGTAGGTTATGTGTACAATGTAGTACAACGTATTTTGGAGCACAGTGTGCGTTCTTCTTATCGGTTCGACCCGACCAAAAATGGTTTGGAAATGGGATTCACCAAGCTAGTTGTTTAAATATTAGGGAACTTAACTTAGAAAGAGAGCTCTTTGCCTGCTCAGCGCCCCTGCAGACGAGGGTTCTTGAGATGCTGTCAAAGGCACTCCTCAATGGCTTGCAATGAGTTGTAATTTGTAAGATTATAAATACCACTAGGGTGTGTTATGTCAGCATATTTTCTTCACTGATGGCTGACAACTTATTGTGTGGACTCAAAAAGTCCGCACTTAACTGCGTATTTATGGTGTTGATTACCTAAGAACTCCTTGGAACCCAGCTCAAGAAGGCACAGTCCCTGTACACAAGAAATTTGTAACCTAACTTGTTGATAGCGTGATGCTATGAGTTCACACCTTCAACGATATCGGTATAGACTTGATGGAAGCTGAAGTGTCCTAGGATGTCCACGTCTTCCCTAAGGGTCTAGGAATCCGACACACTGGTACACGCTATGTTATACAAGATTTGTCTCTTTTTTGTTAACACGTCTTATCACTAAAGAATATGACACACTTCTTTTAAGTGTTTACTTGTGTTTTATGTGACACTTTGTTCACACTAATGCCAGGAATCGTGGTTTGTTGGTTATCTGGCCGTCAGTGTCACCTCTCGCAGTAGGATCAAAAAGTAAAATCTGAAGACTGCCACAAACGCCACGCCAGTCACTTGCCCACAGCACAAAAGGGAAAAGCGGGTGACATAGTACTTTCTGCTTCACATGGCCACTTCCCTCGATGGAAGCAAAGCAGAAGATCGTTTAAATGCTTGCTGTCTTAAGCAATAGACAACACAATGTCACTATCTTTACTATGGTAATAAAGTGGGAGCTGGATTTTCCATTATTGTATCCTTGCTAATTGGTAAGAGTTATGTACTGCTCTTATTAAAATACTCTCCTGAAACACTGGACTGCGCAAGGAAGGCAGCGGTTCGCCTTGACCACTTCGCATACTTCGACGGCATCTTGCGATCAATTACTCACTGCAGCAAGTAAACAAGATGCTTGCCATCTGAGAGGCGCTCGAGCCCCTCAGGGCTGAAAGGGCCTGAAAGGGGCTGAAGGGGGATGGAACCCCCCTCCTTGGAGAAAATTTCTCCACAGACCTTACACTACATATCATGTTTGTTTTACCAATGATCGGTCCAGTTATCAATGAATGGATGTGCAAGTTCCTTGCCATTTACTTGTCTGCTTGCAATTTATACCTCAATTGCCCTAGACATCATTCATTGCCCATCCTTTTCTGGCAAAGATGCAATATGAGCTGGGATCCCTCCCATATACCCTGTAACACTACTTCTATCGGCTGACTGTGCTTATCCAGCAGCTCCTTTCTCCTGCCCTTCCCTATGTCTTCTTCAGGAGTGGCAAGAGTGGGTATACTGTTGTCGAGTGTATAAGAACGGCAGCTTGTCTGCTGTTTCACTTGTAGGAAAACGAAACTGTCTGCTGTTTGAAGTCTAAGGCAAGTATGTGTAAGAAAGTGACTTGTCCTGCCTGTGTCCGTGAAAGGAAGAAATCATTTTTCTGCCTTCTGTGTCAGTAAGGTGGGAGCAACTGTCTTGCTGTTTCTGGTTAGGAAAAGCATACCTTATCTGCTGTGTTCAGTGTGTAAGGCGCAGTACTTGTCTTCTTTGTGAGGGTAAGGCGCTAACTGTGTTGCTGTGCCAGCTTGTAAGGAAGAGCTGCTTATTGCTTTGTCAGTGGGTAAGGCAGCTACTTGTCTGCTGTTAGTCAAGCGTTTTGTATGTTAGTACTTGTGTCAAGTTATTTGTCCTGCGCTTTGTCAGTGTTTGTGCAGTACTTGTCTGCCTCTCTCCTTGCTAGATAAATTAGACCATCGTGCAACTTCTTGAGGTATTCTTTACTGAGGAAAAACGTTTTCACTAGAACCACACAAGTGGCTTCATGTAGTCCATACAAAGGAGAAGAATCGTGAAGAAAATCGGAGAAGATATGAGGTTAATCAGTCCCTCAACCTTGGTCGATGTGGTTCAGGCCATGCAATTTCTTTGAATGATAGAATACGCCGCATATGTGCGAGAAAGTAGCTTATATACCCGTAGGCAAAGAGAGGTTGCAGCTCAGTCGTAGGTGAGTTCAACATTTGTCAATGTAGAAGTGGTCGTGCTCAAAGGGTTAGGAAGCGATGAATTCCCAAATATTAGGATCCCAAGAAGTTGCGTATCTCACAGGATTGTATGATTTGAAAGAAAGAAACAAATCATGGCCGCCTCACACTGAAACCGACACGTTGATAAATGTTGGGCCATATGCAATCACATGGGTATATTTATTCTCCGGCACATCATGCTGGCTATTCCATTTCAAGATTGATGGACCTGACACATCGCTCAAGGGTAAGGGACTGATTACCATCATTTGCTTCTCGTTATCTTCACGATATCCTTTGGATGGACTGATGTGAAGCCACTGTGTGGCGGAAACGTATTACCTCATAAAGAAAAAACCAAGAGTTGCACAGGTGTCTAAATTGATCACTGTGTGGTCTTGTGTACACCATATCTTCTACAAATGTGTCAGTGTTATGGAGCACTTGTCTGCCTGCATGCCGAGTAAGGTAGCTATTGTCTGCTGTAGGCAAGTGTAATGGATTCACTCGTCTAGCTCTTGTCGTCGGTGTGAGGAACGCAACTTGTCTGCTTGTTTTCTGTCGTAGGAAAGCAACCTGTTGTTGTTTTAGTGCCAGGAAGATCTATTGGGAAGGAAGTTGCTTGTCTGCTGTGTTAGTGCGTAAGGAAGCAATTTTTCTGCTGTCAGTGAGTAGGGGTCCAGCAACTTGTTCAGCTGTGTATGTTGTAAAGGAAGCTTACTTGTCTGCTGTCGTCAAGTGTTTAGGGAAGCAAGATGTCGCTGAGTATATGGTAGAGGGAAAACAACTTTTCTGTGTTAGTGGAGGAGAGGGTTGCACGTGGTCGCCTTGGTCAGTGTAAGGAGCAACTTATTCTGCTGTGTCAGTGTAAGGAACTGCTTTGTCTCCCTGTGTCAGTGTAAGGAAGCTGCTTGTTCCTCCTGTGTCAGATGTTTGGAAGCTATTTGTTGCTTGTGTCAGTTGTCAAGAAGCAAACTATTCTAGACTGTATTCAGTGTAGGAAAAATGTGACCTGTCCGCTGTTTTAATTAAGTGTAAGAAAAACACTTATACGGAAGTAATTGTCTCTCTGTAGTCCAAGTTTGGAGGAAGCAACCCCCGCTCATGTCTGCTATATCAGAGTAAGGAAGACTACTTGGCCTGATTGTGTCAGTGTTAAGGGCTGCCTATTGTCTTCATTGTCATGTGTACGAAAACTGCTTATTTGTTTGTAATAACCGTTATACGAAGCTACTTGTTGCTGTGTCAGTGTGACACGTAGCAAACTTGTCTGGTGTTGTCAGGTATAGACGCAACTTGTCTGGTGTGTCAGTGTAAGAAAAGCAACTTGTCTGGAGTTGTCAGTGTAAAGAAACTGCACTTTGTATGGTGTGTCAGTGTAAGAAAGCAAACTTTTCTGGTTAAGTGTGCAGTGTTAAGAAACGCATTTGTCTTGGTGTGTCAGTGTAAGAAAGCCAACCTGGTCTGGTGCTCGTCAGTGTAAATGAAAGCAACTTTTCTGGTTTGTGTCAGTGTCCATAGAAAGCAACTTGTTGGGTGTGTCAGTGTATGAACGCACACTTGTTGGGGGGGGATGTTGTCGCAGTGCACAGAGGAACAGCAAACTTGTCTGGTGTGTTGTCAGTTTGTAAGAAAGCAACTTGTCTGGTGTGTCAGTGTAAGAAAGCAATTGTCTGGTGTGTCAGTGCCAAGACGAAAAGCAATACTTTTCTGGTGTGACAGTGTATAAAGAGAACGCAACTTGTTCTGGGTCTCTTTGTTAGTCCGTGTTGAAGAAGAAGCAATTTGTCTGCATGTGTCAGTTGTAAGAAATGCAACTTTTTCTACTTTTCAGTGATAGGACGGTACTGTCCGCTGGTTTAAGTGTAGAAACTACCTTTGTACGGAAGTTAGGTGTCTTCTGTGTCAGTATGAGGAAGCAACATTGTCGCTGCATAATCGGTTGGTAAGGAAGGGTACTGGCTGAATGTGTCAGTGTAAGGCCGCTTACTTGTCTTTCAGTGTCAGTGTAAGAAAAATGGCTTATTTGTGGAATAACCGTATAAGAGCTACTTGTCTGCTGTGTTGTCAGTGTGACAGTAGCAAACGTTGTCTTTGGTGTGGTGTGTAAGACGTCAAAACTTGTCTTTTTGAGTTGTGTCGTGGAAAAGAAAGCAACTTGTCTGGGTGTGTAGTGTAAAGAACCTCCATTTGTTGGTTGTGTCAGTGTAAGAAAGAACTTTACTGGTGTGCCAGTTGGATAAAAGAAGAACGCAACTTGTATGGTCGTTGTCAGTTGTAAGAACGCAAATGTTGGATGTTGTCCAGTGTAAAGAAAGCAACTTTTCTGGCTGTTGTCATTGTAAGGAAGAGCAATTGTCTGGTCTGTGTCAGTGTCTGAAAGCACACTTTGTTGGTGTGTCCAGTGCAAGAAAGCAACTTTGTCTGTTCTGGTGTGTCAGTGTAAGAAAGCAACCTTGTCTTTCTGTGGGTGTCAGTGTAAAAGAAAGCAACTTGTCTGGTGTGTCAGTAGTAAGAAAGCAACTTTTCTGGTTGCGTGGTCAGTGTAAGAAAGGCAACTTGTCTGGTGTTTGTTTCCGTGTATGAAAGCAACTTGTCTGGTGTGTCAGTGCAAGAACGCACTTGGTCTGGTGTGTCAGTGTTAAGAAAGCCAATTGTCTGGTGTGACAGTGTAAAGAAAGCTATTGTGTTCTGGTGGTCAGTGTAGAAAAGCAACTTGTTCTGGTGTGTCAGTATCTGAAAGCAAACTTGTCTGGCTGTGTTCAGTGCCAAAAGAACGAAGAAAGCACATTGTCTGGTGTCGTCAGTGTTAAGAAAGCAACTTGTCTGGTGTTGTCATGTAAACAGAAGCATAGCGTGGGTCTGGTGTGTGTTCAGTGTAGAAAGCATTGTTGTCTGGATGTGTCAGTGTAAGAAAGGCAACTTGTCTGGGGTGTCAGTAGCAAGGAAAGCAACTTGTCGGTGTGTCTAGTGTAAGAAAGAACTTCGTCTGGTGTGCTTCAGTTTGTCCAGGCAAAGCAACTCTTGTTGGTGTGTCAGTGTAAGAAAGCATATAATCCTTGCTCTGGTGTGTCAGTGTAAGAAAGCAACATTGTCTGGTGTGTCCGTGTAAGAAACGCAACTTGTCTGGTAGTGTCAGTGCTAAGAAAGCAAACTTGTCTGGTTGTGTTCAGTGTAAGAAAGCAACTTGTCCTGCGGTCTGTGTTCAGTTTGGTAAGCAAAGCAACTCTGTCTGGGGTGTCAGGTGTTAGATAAAGCAATTGTCGGTGTGTCAGTGCCAAGAAAGCAACTTGTTCTGGTTGTGTCAGTGTAAGAAAGAATTGAGCTGGCTGTTGTCAGTAGTAAGAAAAGCACTTGGTCTTGGTTTGGTGTTCAGCTGTTAAGAAACGGCACTTGTCTGGGATTTGTTTGTCTGTGTAAGAAAGCAACTGGTATGGTGTGTCAGTTGTAAGAAGCAATGGTCTCGGTGTGTCCAAGTTGTATAGAAAGCGCAACTTTTCTGGTGTAGTCAGTGTAAGTATAGCAATAAAAACCCTTTGGGGGTGGGGGGGGGGGCGGACTGCGGTTTATTGTGTCAGTGTAAGATATTGCAAACTTGTCTGGGGACTGTGTCAGTGTAAGAACGCAAACTTGTTGGATTGTTGTCAGTGTAGAAAGCAATTGTCGGTGTGTCAGTTGTAAGAAGCCACTTGTCTGGTGTGTCAGTGTCATAGAAAGCAACTTGTATGGTGTTGTCAGTGTTAAGAACGTGTCACTTTGTCTGGTATGTGTCAGTGTAGAAAGCAACTTGTTGGTGGTCAGTGTAAAAAAAAGCAACTTGTCTGGTGTGGCAGTGTAAGAAAGCAAACTTTTCTGGTGTGTCAGTGTCCAGGCACAGATACTTGTCTGCGGCGCCAGTGTAAGGGAGCTACATATTGCTTGATGTCTTGTAAGGAATGTCTTCTTTCTTATCTGATGTGTCAGTGTTAAAGAAGTTACTTGGTCTGCGGTGTCAATGTAAAGCAGATACTTGTGCTGCAGCCTATGTGTAAGGGATGCGGCATTCTGCTGTGTCAGTGTAAGGCAGCTACTTGTTCTGCTGTGTCAGTGTAATGGACAGGCACTTGTCTTCTGTGGCCGTGTAAGGGCGCAAATTGTCTGCTGTGTCAGTCTAAGAAAGTCACTTCTCTAATTGTTTTCAGTGTAGGAAAGCTAACCTGTCTACTGTTTAAGCTTAAGAAGCATATTTGTAAGAAAGTTACTTTGTCTGCTGTTGTTCAGTTGTAAGGAAGCTACTTGTGTATACTGTGGCAGTGTTATTTAA